CACTCTGATGATACTTTGCCAATGAATGTCTATAAAGAACGAAATCCAAAATGTAATTTGCAACGGATATGTATGGACTACAAAAATAACATTTATTGTGGACCTTGCTGAAAAAGTCTTTGCAGGAGTAAAGATTAGATCCTAGAATAGATGTTTGAAATAGGCTCTCAAAGAGCTTCATAAGAGACTATAACACTCTTAAACAAGGATTTGCAGTACTATCTAAAACTATCTGGTAATAAGGTGTAAAGAAGAGGGTAATAATTACTAAATTAACAACCAACTTATACATTGTATCACCAATGGTTAGTAAGGTAATACTAATTGAAGCTTTATTTGGGTAGCAACTTTTTAATAACATGGAAACAGACATACAGCTGGCTAAGCACATTAATACGAGTATAGTTACATACTGGTAACAATATAATAATCTCTAGGTAATAAAACAGCAACATCTCTGTATTGGGATTTTCATTACCTGTAGTAACCTCAAGTTAATTGTGTATTGATTGATGCTTTAACATATTTGGACATTATTAGGATGTTATGAAGTTGGAATAAATGCTACCTTATGTCCACCAGCTTTCTTTACTGCTTGAAGGTAACAGTGTAAATATTATGTATTAATTCTTCTTGTTTTTTTATTGTAAATGTTTTATTTACATGCGTTATTTATTTATTTATTTATTTACTTATTGTTAATATGTGTTTTTGTATTTAATTTTATTTCCAGCTATGTTACTTTTAAGGTGCTTTACAGTTGGGATGGACTGGATTGGATGATGCTGTGGCTTATCACCTGGAAACATGCGTGTTATGGCTATTTTATATTACAGCACTAGGAAGTAAACAGCTATACAGGCAATCATAGCTCAAAAAAATTTAATGGTGGGCCAATACAAAATGCTTTGGTTACATAAACACACTCTCATTAAGCCATAAGACCTATGATTGTAACCAAAAATACATTCTTTAAAAAGCACACACTTTAGCATCCTGACTATATGGAAGTTCAGTTTAGCTGCCACTGTAAACACTACTATAATGAACATATTATTATCATTATTATTATTACTAGTGTATAATGATGCCGTCCTTACTTAAAAGTAATCAGGGCAAATAATCAAGTGTTGCTTTTCTCATTGACTTTGTTTTTATTACATAAGCTTAGTCCTTTGTTTTAGGTTACAAGACTAATTATAAGCACAAAATGATGACCATATGTAGGGCTTGACAGATGTGCTGTCCTAGCAGTTTTGCTAGTTTGTGCCTCTGCGAGTGCAAAACCATCTAAGTTTTCTTTATGTGGAAGATCCAGAAAAATAATGGGCAACACTGATTTGGCCTGCTTGTTTCCTGTGTAGACTGCACAGGAGAGAACGGAGTCCTCACAGGCAAAACACATCCAGGTGTAACAATGGATGCCCCAAGTGTGAACGAGGAGGGGATGTTTAACACTTGCAAATGAGATTCCACCAGATGTCGTGGGTTTAAATCTAGCTTAGGATGTTGGCCACATGTCCTCCGATGCTTTCTTTTCCAGCATTTCTTGTATCAGTCCACTGAGACTAGATCAAGAAGGGAAAATATATTCAAAAAGAAACTCAAAACATCAAGCCACTGAGTGTGCAGGCAGTCTGGGGGAAAAAGAGTTTTCACAGTTAAATCATTCAGCCACACAAGTAGTGATGGTACATAAAGTAAATAATAAAGAAAATGAATATTAACAACCTTTAAAAATAAATTTTTAACAAACCCTCATTCATATGCAAACCTTTCTCTGAATGTCTTTCCTTTCTGATTTTCTATCATTCAGGCCCACGGATGTGAGACATGAGGATCTAAGGTTGTTTATGGACCTTTCCTGTACTGTTTCTATTATACCCTATAGCACCTTGTACAATTCCTTTGAAAGGTCCAGTACAAACTTATTAATATTTATGTGGGTGTTTTTCAGATGCACACAATGCGTGGACTTCTTTATCTACTAATATGACTTGGTGTTGCATTTGTAAGAGGATTTTCAAGGCTCTCTAGTCAAGGCTAAAAGTCTCTATAAAGAAATGTTAGAATTACTATCTTTTTTTTATAAGGTATCAGGCTTGCACTGACTCTGGTATATCTTCTAACCTATTAAAATTATAATTAGATTTTTTCCCTACTTTTCAAGGTTTAGATTTAACAAGCACTAGAAAGAAACACTCACTGCGGCTATGCTGATAATTTCGCGACCTGCCCAGGACACCACGATAAAAGTTCCTGCTCTTTGTATTTCTTCTTTTTCTTAATTCCATCGTGCTGACACATATCTGTGTGCACACTTTTGTTTTACTTTACTTTGTGTGAACATTAACTTGAGAACATGACAAGAATTCAACATGTACACTAAGTCTGGCCCCTGTAGAGAAGATGGTCTGATTAAATTTGGAGTGCCTTGCTGAATTGATTTACATATTAATAAATGTAAAAATAATTTTCCTGAAAGCACTAGGACTATTCAGTGTAAGATACAGTTTAGCTTAATACTTTCCCAAGAATGTTGACATGAGTATCTGCTTTGATTAATGAATTCAGCAACACAACTTATTACATTTATTATACAGTATCCTGGTAATTGTGATGGGGTGTTGTCATCTTAAATGCCTCTTGTTTTATTCATACTCCTTTCAGGAAAACTTTTGAACATGTACACATGCAAAAGTGACCGTTTATAAATAATTAATTCTTCGTGATGATAATGACTCTTAGGATGGTTTTGATTTTGTTTTGTATTGCGTTGTTCTACTCTGCTGATTTCCCGTTTTAATCACATTCGCTTCCTGCTGTAAAACTCCAAGAGTGAAACATGAATCCCAGTTTAATATTGGGTGCTTTCTCAAAAGGAGACTCCAGGTTCTACATTTTCTAGAGCCTCTCATAACATACAGGATGACATCTTTTTACCCCCTCTTTTGGCCCTTTGTTCCCTTCTGTAAATCTAGCAGTACGGATATATTTTTCTTTAACCTTCATTAAACTTCATCCATTGTAAGTCTTTATGCCTTATGAATAA